AAACTTAGGGAAACCAAGAAACAAAAACTTTAAGAACTCAAACAGGATCCTCAGAGGCAAGACTCACCAAAAGAAATGAAGAGATGAAAGAGAGAATCTCAGGAATTGAAGACACATAGAAGAAATGGATACCTAGGTCAAATAAAATGTTAAATCTGGAAAAAATTCTGCCACAAAACATCCAGGAAATCTGGGACACTATGAAAAGAGCAAATCTAAGAATAACAGGAATAGAGTAAGGAGACAAAGCCCAAGTCAAAGGCGCAGAAAATATCTTCAACAAAATCATAGACGAAAACTTGCCTCACCTACAGGAGAAATTGCCTATCTAGGTACAAGAAGCATACAGAATACAAAATAGACTGGACCATAAAAGAAAGCCCATTGGCACATAATAATCAAAATACTGAAAGTATAGAACATAGAAAAAATGTTTTGAAACTGCAAGGGAAAAAGATCAAAAAGCATAAAAAGGCAGATCTATTAAAATGACATCTGACTTTTCAACAGAGACTGTGGTGGTCTGAGAGAAAAATGACCCCAAAGGGAAGAGCACTATTAGGGGGTGTGGCTTTACTGGAGGAGGTGTGGTCTTGTTGGAGGAAGTGTGTCACTGTGGAGGAGGGCTTTGAAGGTTCATATCAAGCCATGCCCAGTAGGAGTCTACTTCCTGTTGCCTGCATATGGACAAGCTGCAGCTCCTTCGCTAGCACCATATCTGCCTCCGCACTACCATGCTTCCCGCCATGGTGATAATGTTCCACAGACACAGGCCGACTAGTACACCCAGCAAAACTTTTAATCACCATAGATGGAGAAAAATAAGACATTACACCATAAAATCAAAATTAAGCAATATCTATCAACAAATCCAGTCCTACAGAAGGTACTAAAGGAACATTTCAATCTAAAGAGGTTAACTCTACCCAATAAAACACAAGGAATAAATAATACCAGATCAGAAAAAAAGTGTGGGGGGCAGGTGGGTAACGGACACAAACACAACAGCAAGAATAAAATAACAAAAGTCAACAAACACTGCTCACTGATGACTCAGAATCCACTGTTCCAACAACACAAATGCTGGGACTGTGGACAGCAACTTGTTGCCACTGAAGATGCAACATGAACAGACACCAGCAAGACTCAGAAGAGTCAGACTCTTATTCTTCCCCAGTACCACAGAGATACCAAGACAACACAACACACATAAATCAGCTCTTTACACAGGCAAAGTTCAGTGAAGACTCCTAAAGGCATTCTGTTATAGCCATAGATCAGTATCTGACTGCCCATACTGGAAAGCTTCCTCCTGCAGTAACTGGGAACTAATACAGAAACCCACATCTGGACAGTGTGCAGGATGTGGGAGACCTTGGAACACTCGGTCCTAAATCAAGCCCCTCCCCTCACAGCTCAGGGAACTCTGTGGAAGAAGGGGTAGAAAGATGTAAAAGCCACAGGGATGGATGACATCAAGGAAAGTGTCTTCCAGATGCAACAGGACTGTGAACATGTGAACTCACAGAGTGTGGCAGCACACACTGGGCCTGCACAGATCCGAACCAGATAGAGTTCCAGTGCAGAGATGGGAAGGTAGACATGACCTTCCATCCCCACTGAAGAGGCTAACCCCAATTAGCAACCACAAGCAAAAGAAGTTTCTCCAAGGAAGTCTCAATGGGTAAACGAACCACACTTTAAAGGTAGGCCTGATGCCCAGCAGTAGATAGCCAACACAAAATGAACTCAAAGGCATTTGGGGAGAATTATTTTTGTCACATATTGCTTTACTTGGCTTTATCACTCATACATTCTTTCATCTTACTGTTCTTTCGGTTATATTTTATGGTTTCTGGTGTTCAGTGTTTTATGGTGTGTGTATGTATGTACATTCTAGTGCTTTCTTAGTTTCTTCTTTGTTTTGTTTTACCCTTTTTGTTTTTCTTTTTACTTGTCTGTTTATTTTCTTAGGAGAGAGAGAAAGAAGGCATGGGTTGGAAGTATGGAGAGATGGGAGAAACTATACATAATACACTGTATGGATGCAAATCACTTTAGTTTCAACTTAAAAATAAAATAAAATTAAGAAGAATCTGGATGATGGGACACAATACTGCCATCTCCAACAGGAAAATCCCTGGCAATCACAGGCCTCTGTCCATCCTGCCATCTCCTGTGGACCAGCAGGCAGAATGGCCTTGTTCTGTCTTCTCCTGGTGAAGGGGAACACCAGCAATCCAACATTGTGGCACTTTGAAAGACTGCCCAAATGACAGGTTTCTGTTCCAGAGAGTGGACAGACCATGGTATGTCTAGACGCCAGGGCCCTGCTGAGCACAAAAGACAGCAGACTGCCCTGCTACTCCAGGAGCCTGCAGTGCAGACGAGATAGTTGAAGACCAGCAGCTTCCCACTGTGAGGAACAGGGAACAGAAGAGCGTGTGCCTCATGCTCTGGCTTCTCAGGGCTGCCCAAGATGATCTCTCTTGATTGGCAAAAGGCAGAGGGCTGGGATGGGACTAGCAAGAAGGAGGGGTGGTTTGCAACAGCCCCAGGGAAACTGTAGTACCAAAGTCAGACACCAGAGGGAACCAGAATTTGAGCACCTGACAAAGCCACAAATCTGAGAATTTGTGAGATAACACATACACATGAAAATCATGAAAGATTTTATAGAAAACTATTCAACCATTAAGAAATATATGACAATGATATATACATGTGTACTGAACATAAAAGCACATAATATAAAAATCCAAATAACCTATAAAACTTAAGCTTACAGAAACGTTTAGTTCATCAATTACAAGCGCCCTATAACAACATAACCAGTTAAGAGGAGCAACCAGTGACCATATGGAAATTCTCTGCCACCCTCTTGATCTTTCTGTAAGCCTAAAGTTGCGCTCTGAAATCAATACCATCAATTTACAGGAAAGAGATCAAACAGTGTGGAGGAAAGTAGCTGAGGACCTGCATTTGGAAAGGAACTGTCAAAACACGATACTCAGAAACAAAACCTAAGAGTCCACCTTAGCAATGGGCAAACAGATCTGATCCTTCAGTCGGCATACAGACAGCAGAAGTGTGTTAGGAGATGATGGTCGTTAGGACTGTTAGAAGCACAATGAGATCCCACCACGTGCACACCAAAATAGGTGAAATCAGGAAGACTGGCCACATGAAGTACTGATAAAGTGGATCAGAACATTCACAAACTGTTCGGAATGGGAAGTGGGTAAAAAAAAAAAACTGTGGTGGTATCTTTAAACGATAAGTATAAGCCTATCACATGACCAAGCTATGTCATTCCAAAGACACCATTTGACAATAAGCTATGCATGCAAATGCTCATAACATTCTCCATACCTTAATGCTGAAACCAACAAAATACTATCAACAGATAAACAAATTGTGACAGTTATACAACAAGATGGTGCTCAACAATAAAAAGGAACAAAGTAATAGGAATACAACTCAAAATAATGCCAATATCAGGCATGCTGGCTCATACACGTAACCATAGTACTTGGAAAACTGAGACCAGATGACTGTCATGAGTTCAAGACCCTGCCTGGTCTACACAGTTGAATTATAGGCTAACCTAGGTAACAGTGTAAGATCCTGCTCCAAAAAACAAAAAAGACAGACTGATGTCAGTGGTAAAGCACACTGCCCTCCACCCATCACCAGCAATAATTAGAAAAAGAACAAACACTTATGATCCCATTTCCACTGACCTGTGGGCCTGGAAGCACAGCAGTGGTGACCGGAAGGACCCAGGACAGAGATATTGAGGGCAAGAGAAAGCCTGCAGGCGGGATTATATTCATAATGGTGGTGCTTGCATGAGTATCTGTCAGTCAAAATCTACCAAACTGATACTTTAATAAGGACATCAGACAACATGTTGATCAAACTTCAAGGAAGAAGAAACAGGCTGGTAGAGCCATGCTGTGGGAGGGGAGAACAAGGTATTCCCTTGTAGTCCAGAGCCCGACGGACCAGGCCTCCTGAGGGACTGCTCTGCAAGCCATCAGTGCTCCACTGACTTGTGGGACTTGCCCAAGCGGGAACCAACAACCAGCTGAGCATAGCAGTAAATACACGTTCCATACCCGAAATCTCTTAATGAAAAAGTAGTACACTGAGGAACATTCTGTCCCAAGCTCCTCTTCTAATCCCACTCTAATCTTACTACCTGCAGCTGTATGGAGGGGACAGTGACTATCACTGCTCTGGGCGGTCAGGCTGCGGTGCCTGACGGAGCCACAGAACTGCTAACAGCAGGGACCAGTTAATGGCATACCAACCACTACGGTACACAGGAAGTCACTGAAATCAAGCAACACATAAAGATAAAACCAGACACTTTTAATCGCTCAGAATGCGGATTTTTAAAGGTAGCTGATATGAAAAATGGCTTGTGTTACAGTTAATGCGATCCCATCCAAAAGCTCAAATTCCATATTAAGAATGTATAAAAACACAATTGTCTATGAGTAACAATATGTACACTACACAATCAAGGAGAGCTTCCTCTTTTTCTCAGACCATAGTCTCCCGAGCAGGTCGGGACGTGCAGGAAGAACAATATTATTTTCATTTCTTATAGTTTTAGTTCCTAAAATTCTTAAATCCCAAATTATTCACACAAATTTTCAATGTTTTCTTGTTCATATCTGATAACAAGCTTTTGTTTGAAACTTTGCAACTGAGAATCCCTTCTTTGAAACATGAAATGACATGCAACCTCCTGAGTTACATATGCAGCTTATGCATGCTTTAAAACATTATTTTCCAATATCATGTTATTTATTCATAATGCATGCCTTGCTAATCACATTTAAGCAACGGTCCTGTATGTCTGAGTTTTGTGTGTTTACATTACTCTAGAACTTATTTTTACTGTTTGATAAAGGATTATTAGAAAGATTTCTCAAATATTTAATAAATGAGACAAACCAATCATTGTGAAAACACAAACTGAGACGTCAGCCTTTTCATCTTTTATTTTATGCATTCCCTATCAGCCATACAATTTCCTGTGCTATAGGGCTGCTGACAGATTTCCATCTCTGTAATCTCAGCAATGCTTCCTGCTCGGCCTGCTGTAGCATCCACCCTTGAACACAGCATTCGCTCGCCACGGTGCAGCAGTGAAACATGACCACTGAAATTCACCGTTTCCAGTTATTTTAACTGCAGGACCACCTTAAAACACAAACAGGGAGAAGCAATATCAGTAGACTGGAATGAAGCTGCTATCTGCTAGGTAAACTCTGAAGATGGCTAAGAAGAGCAACAGGCAAATGAGGGCAGGGGCTCACAGCCCCTGCCAGCCAAGATTGCTGCTCTCGGTCCTCAGCACCAATACCAGGCACTACCACACCCAGTTCTCACACACAACTTCATCCAAAGGCCAACAGGCTTCCTTGCTGGACATGAGAATCAGCCGTGCAGGCAAAATTAAAATGTGAACAACTGTGGAGGGTGGGAAGAACGGGATGTTTCAGGGCTTAAGAGGGCCAGAGGATCTAACACAGGATTAGCAGCCAGGGAGGGGGTCAACAACACCTGGGAGCCAAACCCTACGACTAGCCCTCTTGAGAAACGCTGCCCAGTAACAAACAAATCCTGACAGCTTCCTCCCGCCAGTCCCTGCTGTTTAAAGCCTGTTTTCTCACATACACTGGGACTGAAGGCTGGAGTTGAGACACGGCTCTGCCAATGTGAGCATTTGGAGACTGACTAGTTCTATCACATCTCAGCTTCATTTTGCTGTAACTACAGTTACAGTTCACCCCCACACCAGAACATTACAGAAGCAATTGTCTAACATCTGTCCATCCAAATAAGACATTTCTTTTCTTAGAATAATGAAGTTTTTTTTTTATTAATTAGAGAAACTTGAGAATCAACTAACGTCATGGTCTCAGGGTAAATATTTCACTTTTAAGTTTAATAAATACTGGAGGAAAACAAAAAACTATGGTTGTAACAGTACTGCTTTTGTTTCAGAAATAATTAGATAATTAATTTAGAACTTGGTAATTGAATACTGTAAGTCATAATTAATTCAACATTTAAAGTAGAATTAAACATCTCAGCAACATCCCAACATCGTATTTTCTGTGCTTGATCTAAAGTATCGGTAAAATGAGATGCATTAAAACCCTGCCGGAATTCTACTCCTCCTACCCAAGGGCCCACTGACACCTGAGCATGGAAAGCACAGGACTCAGTTCAAGCACACACCTTATTGGCTGCCTCCAAGGAACTGATTAGATTCTGTAGCTCCTCTTTACTCATTTCAATGGAGTATGGTTTCACTTCGCCGTTCTCCTTCACATCCAGATGAAGGGTTAAAAATGGCATCTGTAAAGTGGCGATCTTGTCACTAGAAAGCGCGAGCTGTTGCAGGTGAGAAAGACGATAAACAGTAAGTTGTACGCACAAGTAGCTGAGTTTGGTGAGAGCACATTGTCCCTGTTTGCCTGTAAACACTGGGAAAGAGGAACGATAAATTAAACACACATTCAAAGACTAGAAGGAGAAAGGAAAGGAGACAGAACAAATACAGGAAGTGGGCAGCAAGAAAGGAGCCAGCACCTTGTCCAAAAGCAGAGTTTGGCTAAACAAGACACGTTCTTCAGGTTCATACCTATAGAAACTCAGAAGTCCTGAAAGTGTCCTGAACCAGAACCGCTAGAGATTCCAAGATGGCAGTTCATGTATAAAAGATGAAAAACACTCAGAAACTCTTAGAAATTAAGCAACTTAATTCTTGATTGGCTATCAAACTGCTGATGAATATAGAATCAAGATATCACACCCACAGGACATCTAGTCTTCTGATCATAATTACAGGATCTGCAACCGGCCTGATCTTTTAAAGGCACACGGTCTCCAGTGTCTCAAAGAAATTTCACAAAGCATAATTTTAAATTTCCAGTCATTCTTTTCTGGTAGGGGTCCTATTTGTTTAAATATTTAAGTCTGGCAACCAGAACTAAAGGGATTATCAAATTAATACAAAAGACTACATAGCTGAAAATAGCATCCATAGGAGCTTGCCCGAAAGCTCAGCATGTCTCCTGACAAAATGTAAGCCTGAAGCCGTATCAGTTAAGCGACAATTTGATAAACAACTAAATATCCTTCATGAACGCTAGACTAGCATCTCTCCCCTATCATCCATACTTATGTAATGTTACATGTTTAAATGAAAACCTTTCATTTAGTTTAGCGCGGATTAACTGCTTTTTATCTTGGCCCATCAGTGTAACAGGTACAGAATCATTTCAAATTTTGGCTGTATGGCATACTCCCTACACTTCGAGCTTTGTGTTAATACAATAAGCACATTAATTAAAAAAAAATCTTAAACATGACTGAGTCACAACAGAACCCCAAGGCCCATTTCCTCAGCTAAGACAACTCTGTCTACAAGTGGTTATTCCTTTTGTTCTCTTAATCCACCGAAAAATGAAGCACTTTCTGGATCTAAGACCATGCTAAACTCAAGGAAGAGAATGTTATCTGTTTTTTCTCTACTAGTTAGGTACCTTAAAAGAACAGAAAGCTGTTCTGAAACTGTTCTCTCTCCACTCAGCACGACCCTCTCACTCTCTTTCCACAAGGTTTTCCAAACTGTACTTTATGATGACATACACTTTGAGAAAGCTGCGGCATCTAGAAGACTCTTATCAAGGCCATACACTATATACACACACCTCCATGTCTGATTGATGGGTCTAGGAAAAATCAGGATGATGGCACCACACACAGTTTGGTTGCTTAGAATGCTCTTGATGCCCAAGTTAATACAAAACCGGTAATTTATATAAGCTTTGCTATTACCTTGGAACAATGCGGTCTCAAAATTACAAATTGTAGGCATTTTTATTTTAAAAGATTAAGTATATTTAAACACTACACACAAAAACATATAAATAACTAGATTCTTACCTTTAACTGCCAATCAAAATCCTGTAGCTGCGCACAAGAAATACCAACTATTTCTCCTAGCAGGACCTGCTTGATCTCGCTTTTCCTACTCTTCAAGCATTTCATAACAGCTTCTTGATGACATGAATTCAGTTGGCTCAACTGCTGGCGTGTCTGTGGAAACACCCGCAGATGGTCAGGAGAGAGAAAGGGACCTTCGGCTCCACTGTAAACACGTGCCCACCCTCTTCCCACACGCGTCTTAAACGGCAGTACAATGAAGAAGAGATCCTTTACTAACTACAAAGAGCGTGGGCTGAGGATGAGCACCCAGACGAGTCTTAACAAGTTCCTGCCAGTCAGAAGGAAAGAGAGGGACTCACTGACAAAGCTAGCGAGTGCACAGTGTACCGCAGCCCTAACAGCAAGGAGTTTTCCAAGAAATAGGAGGAGAAACTGAGGAGAAATCTGCAAGTCCTAAACCCGTGTGTGTCTGCTGCACTGCTTCAAACCAGACGATGCAGCACAACTCTGCCTCCCACACGCTGGGATGAAAGGCGTGTGCCGCCACCGCCCAACAAAATCCTACAGAAGAAAGCACATATTCTCAGAGATACTAACAGTTTCCAGCTACTGAGAAACTCACAGAAAGCATTAGTACATCTCAGAACATAAAAATATTAACTTCCACTTAATCAAATGATACAACATATACAAACCATACCCAACAACTTCAAAACACATAGCAGTTTCAAATGTATACAGTAAACCATACACTGAGTCATTCAAAGACTACATTAACAGTCTGTACTTCTGACAACTGGGTGGTTAAATAAAAGTGAATGAGATAAATTTTTTCCCGATATAAAAATTAAGCAATTCGATGCCATTAAACAAAGAAAATCAATGGTGCAAAAACTCTTCCAAAGGACAAGAGAAAAACAAAAACCTTCCCAAAGTCACTCTACAAACACAGATTAAAACCAAAGAACTTAGCAAGAGTATCATAGGAAAAAATTCACAGGCCAGTGTCACTCAAATAGAGATCCAAAAACTAGGCAAGACACTGGGTCATCCAACAAATGCACACAGGAAAAAGAGTAATACTTCATGACCAAACTGGATTTATCATGGCAATGCAAGCTTAGTTTAACATCCAAAAATAATCAACACATTAACAAAATAAGGGGAAATAATTCAGAAAAAAAAAGCTGATAAAATGTAATAGCCATTGATGATTAAAAAACAAAAAGTCAACTGGGTGTGGTGCCGCACGCCTTCAATCCTAGCATGAGGGGAGACAGAGGCAGACAGATCTCTGTGAGTTCAAAGCCAGCCCAGTCTACAAAGTGAGTTCCAGGACAGTTAGGGCTATTACACAGAGAAATTCTGTCTCAGAAAAAATGGGGGGAAAAAGTCAGTAAAGTTGGAAAGAAACTTCTTCAATCTACTAATTAATGTCTATAAAATCATGCAGCTAATGACTAAAAGGTAAATTAGTAATTTTTTTCCCTAAGGTGTGTGGGAGATAGGTCTACTACCACAATTTTTTGTTTAAAATAAAGTGTGTCTGTGTGTATCACATATGTACAATATACACACTAAGTAAACTAAGAAAAGTATTAGACATAGAAAAGAATATAAAAGTTCAACAACTTCTACATCCTAACAAAAAACAACTAAAGAATAAAATTAAAGTGTACTAAAAACTGCATCTTTCAGAAATATAACCAAATATTTGCAAGACTTCTATATTAAAATCATAAAACATAGTGGGCAGTGGTGGCACTTGCCTTTTATCCCAGCACTCTGAGAGGCAGAGGCAAGTGTATCTCTGTGAGTTCAAGGCCAGCCTGCTCTACAGAGCGAGATATAGGGCAGTCAGAGCTACACAGAGTAACACTGTCTCAAAAAAAAAAAAAAAAACTAAACGAAACAAAACAAATATACATGTATATAAACAATAGAGAGAAAAGAAAGCCAGTCTACACCATGAGCCCTAGCCTTTGTGCACAGGCTAGGAAGCTAACTAAAGCTGCCAGCTCTCCCCACATAATCTCGAGATTCAGTGTAAGCCATATGAAAATCCAAACTGACAAGCTGATTCTAAAGTGAATACGAAGACAGAAAGAACCAAGAAGAGACAAAGCAACCTTGAGGAAGCATGATGCTGCAGGTCTTCTCCCAGCTGGCATCAAGGATTGATGCAGCGTATCTTTAATGCTGTGCTAATTAAAACAGTGTAGAAACGCCAAAAACTGCCACAGAGAATAATGGAAGAGTCCAGAGACAGACCCCACACGTGACCACCTGACGTATGACCAAGGCTGTACAGTAGCCTTGTGAGGAAGGACAGGCATTCCACAAGATGGCACTCAGCCAACGAGATACTAAGCAGAAGAAACTGAGATGGCCCTTGTCCCACACAAAATTATTAATTCAAAACCTATCTGAGAGATTAGAGAAGCTAAAACAATCGAGCCTCCACGAGAAAACCTACAAGATACCTTCTTACTTTTTCAATACAGCACCGATAACACTAAGCATTGAAAGAAATACTAGGAAACTGGATTCATTAACTTCGGTTCCCCAAAAGCCCCACTAGGAGAGTAAGAAAATAAGGGATGAAGATTCAATGAATATAGTCAAAGAAATGCAGGTCCAGAATATCGTCTGGTAAACAACTCACATAAATATGCACAAACAATTCTTGATATGTTGAAAAGCCACAGCCCATGAGGTCCACTGTTAACTGTCTACTCCCAGAAACCAGAACATGAAGGCTCTTTAGCATCCTGCTTTCTTCTGTATACTTTTAAATGTGTTACAGTGGGAGAAAAAAACAACTAAAACAAAACCACAAAGGCCCCAAAAATTCAATTCAGAATTGCACTCACTCATAATTACATGTTTCAGGTGTAAGGCCTGCGCGGAGCCCTCCCCTAGAAGCAATGAAATCCACAGGAGAGCACTGGGCTGAGCTCCCAAAGTCCAGTTGAAGAGTGGGAGGAGACTATGAGCAAAGAGGTCAAGACCATGATGGGAACACCCACTGAAACAGCTGACCTGAGCTGATGGGAACTCACCATCTCTGGCCGGACAGGGAAGGAACCAGCATAGGACCAAACTAGGTGCTCAGAATGTGGGTGACAGGTCTATGGCCAGGATAGACCGTGGGGCCACTGGCAGAGGCACTGGGATTTATCCCTACTGTTCCTACTGACTTTCTGAAACCCATTCTCCTTGGTGGGATACCTTGCTCAGCCTAGATAGTGGGGAGGGCCTTGGTCCTGCCTCAAAGCAATGTGCTAGACTTGTTGACTCCCCATGGAAAGCCTTACCCTCTCTAAGGAGTGAATGGGGGTGAGGGAGTGGGGAAAGAAGAGGGAGTGGGAACAGGAATCGGTATGTAAAATGAGAAAAGGTTTTTTTTTTTAATAAATAAATTTAAAAAACTCAGGGTAGTGCTTATTATTGGGTAAAGAGATCAGGAGTGAAGTCACCTCTTCATCTGAAAAGTTTTTGCCAACTACAGCTTTGAAAAATGTGGTAACATCTTCCAGAACTTGCTTCCATTCGGCAGACTCCCAAACACTGTGATAATCCTGGTGGGCGGGATAGGCTCGGCCACACATGCCATCAATGATTTTGTGAAGAAGCTGGGGACGAAAAGGAAACAAAAGCACTTTAAAGTAGATGACAAGACAGACGTCTCTTCCTTGCAGAATCGCCCGTTTTGTAAAGCCAGTTGAGACCGAAAGGTAACAATTTTTAAGATTTATGGTTGGGTTTTTTTTCATCTTGTATTTTGTTTTATTTGTTGTTTGGAGAATCGTTTTGTTTTATTTGGTTTGGGGGGGTTGCTTTGTTTTTGTTTGTTGGGTTTTTTTTTTATTTTATTGTTGCCTGAGATTAAAGTCTCATTTCTGTGGTCTAAGCTCATCTTAAATTTATGACAATCCTCCTGCCTCCGCCTCCCAAGCGCTGGGATTACAGGTATAAGCTTCCAAAGCCAGCTAGACTCCACTCTCCGCGATGCTGTCTATACCTTTCGAAACTAAAATAACATTAATGATGAACTGCTGTTGGTTTTTTTCCCCAGAATCCCTGAATAGAAAATATTACATTAAAAAGTTTTCCTTCGCGGTCCTAAGGCATCATTTCTACCCCAATAACCCAAGTCTGACGTTCACATCCAAGCCTCCCACTGGCGCTCTACAGACTTGACTCTGCTGTGCCTCCACTCACACTCCCACGCACTCCGCTGCTCTGAGAAAGCCCTGACCATCCTTTCCTCCTCAGCATCCTCTTCACTCCATACCACCAGCAACAGAAAGCAAGGGCAAAGAAGCAAGGAAAGGGTTCTGTGAAAAGGATGAGAAGCTGCCAGGCGTTGGCAGCCACCAGCCATGAGCATACAGAGGACTGAAAGGAAAACCAAAACCACACTGCAGGTTTGGGAACTGCAGCTGCTGAGAGATTGGGAAGGATCATCAAAGGGCACAAGACTTTTGAAAAGGTGAGAAGGGACCAAATCACGGGAGGAGGCCTTGCAGACAGCAGAAAAGAGCCAAGGCGTTAATATGTGCTCAACTTTCATTCCGTGTTGACATTATTTTTCCAAGATTTTGCCAAAATATTGGGAGACTCAGAGATTGTGGTGACAGAAAAGGTAACTAGGTCAAGGAAGCGGGAGGGTCCAAGAATGATTTTCTAGATCTAGTGGCTGGGTACGAAGGGTGGCACCACCCAAACAAAACCAGGCCAGGGAGGAACCAAAGCAGGGAAAAAGGAGCTGACCCCAAACACGGAATTCTCCGCAGCTGTGGCAGAAGGCGGAGGCTGGCAAAGGAGATGGCTGGCTCCACTCAAAGATTCGGGGATCACGGTCATTGACTGGAGAAAATTTTGACCATCTCTGAAAGGGACGACAGCAGGCGTGGAAGTTCAGAGACTTGGTCCATAGGTCAGAGCGTGGGCTTCAGCTTTGGCCCTGGCTCGCTGGAAACCTCCAGCAAATTCCTCAAACCTGAGGCTAACATCACCGCCCTCATTTGTAAAATCAAAGAAAAGTGAAGTTAAATTTCTTTCAACCTCACCTACACTATCCCCATTACAACCTGAGCAGTTTGGAAAAGAGGGCTTAGACTTAGAAAAGAAGTTTGGCGCGGGTAAAGACTGGGTGCCACCACCAAACACTTTCACGGGAGTCTGGACCCAGGGTATGCTACAGGGAAAGCGTGACTGTTAGTCCCGGGTCCCCACAAGCTTGACTTTGTGAGTGGGTGTGTTTTCAGCGGCTGCAGTCACCTCTTAGCCACTCTAAGAAAAGTTGGTGGCCGGTTGTTTTCCAGTTTGGAGTTGGTTCCAGCCGCCCACCAGGAGACGGACCCGCCAAGGGTCTCACCGCATCCTCTCTACCACACTAAAACGGTTCACGGGTGGCGTTCGGGAGGTCTGACCTCAAGCATGAATGACCCACTCGCGAGTGCAACAGACCAAGGGCTGCACCACCACGGCTTTCTAGATGCAAGGCGACCCCACACACCCAGGCCAGGGGCAACCCCGGGTCGCGCGCAAAGTCCCTGGGCCGCCACTCTGTCCCCAGGAGCCCAGGACTAGACGTCCCAACCCCGCCCTCCCAAGCTCTCCCCACGAGCCCTCACCGGGGCGCCCCGCTCCGGAGGCAGCTTCTGCAGCCGCCACAACGGCGTCCCCTCTTCCGCCTCCATCCCAGGAGAACCGGGGACCCCGGTCACGTGACAGACCCGGACCAAAGGCTGAAGCTAGGGCTCGCCCACGTGACCTACCAGGGGGCGGAGCCGGCGCGCCTTCGCAAAGTCCTTGTCCGCCTGCGCAGATCCTCTGCCGAGGTTTTCCCTGTAGGCAAGACAGAGCCAGTCTTTCCCCGCTTGGGAGAACGTCTCCAACAAACCTATTCTTTATTTGGAGGAAGATTTACAGACCTCAGCTCGGTTGCGACTGTGATCAGAGACCGATCTCATGAACATTTTTCACGCTGCAGAAAATAGATGAGTAAGGGTAGCCGCAGTTTGTATTTGTGCCAGCCCAGGGCCCTTTCCCAAAAGATCCAACAAGCTCTTACTAAAAGATTTTGACCTCAAAGGCAAATTAAAGTTATATTTTTTTAATCCTACGAAGATTAGTTTATTCTCCGTTTGCAAACAACAAACGCGGTCCAAGATGGAGCTCATAAAATGACAAAGCATATTTTTAATTAATTTAAATGTGAAAAATCAGGTGAACGACAAATAATGTTTTAAATATGTCCAAAATACTGCATGACATACGCTTAAGCTAAAAGTTTAATTTTTTTTATCTGAAATTCCTATTTAACCGGGTCAGCTCTATTTTATCAGGCAACTCAAAAACTCATTACCCAAGTTAAGTAACAAAAACAATCTGATGTCAATTGAAATCCTTGTCTACACCCACACATTTACCACGGGACTAAGCCTGAAATTCATAATGCCTTTCTGTTATTCTCCGAATTCTTTCAGCTGTAATTTTAATCCAGTGCTATCCATGATAGAGTGAGCCCTGCCATGCAAAGGCGTCATACGATTAGAAAGAAAGGTTTGCAGTGTGATTTGTAACGTTAAGGACGGCAGTGTTGGAAAGTGCTGAGGCACACCAGAGAAGAAGACAAAGCAACTATCCGAACTGTAAACTATTCCTATTCCGAGAAAAATGACTCAGTAGCCCTTTCAAGATCAACCTCCGGGGCTGGAGAGATGGCTCAGTGGTTAAGAGCATTGCCTGCTCTTCCAAAGGTCCTGAGTTCAATTAAAGCACCGTGGATAGGGAGTCCCCAGACACCGTTAAGATAAATTGCTGCCTGGAAATCTGTGTGTGTTACTAAATCCAGTGATGGGCAATGTTGCCTATGGAAGCTGAATTTTATATAGTGTAACCTGTGAGGCAAGTGCTTGTCAACCATGTAATAAATGGCAAACACTTGATTTATTTTGCCCTACTAATATCCATGGCAACCCTATGCGGTCACTAATTTTCCTACATTAAAGAGGAGTCAGCCTTTGTGGAGGAAACGTCACGTAGGTAATAGTGGCAGAGTTTAAGTAGAGAACTTGTGCTGTGCCTGCATAAAGGAAGGCACACAGGCAATGACTTCCCTGCAGCCATGCAACATGAGTTCATAGTGCAAAATGGCATATGCACCATGACATAAAGGGTAACAAAAATTAGATCCAGACTTTTCTTTCAAGCAACACTGCCCACCAAGAAGAATTCGACCTTTGGGATATGACTTAACAAAATTGAACTTCCAACAGAAACTGATTTTAAAATATCACATAAAATTGAGAGGAAAGAACCCTTAATAACTGTCTTTTCTGTAGTAATAGCTTGTCCTCGTATATGTAATCTAAGGCATCAGATTTCTTTTAACTTTTGACTTTTTTGTTTTAAAGTTTTTAAAGTGTGTTGGAGGTGGGATTGAGGACAAGTTATAGGAACTGATTTCTTCCTTCTAGAGTCCTGAGGACTGAACCTTGGTTATCAGGCTTGAAGACAAACCAATCCCTGAAGCATCTCAAAACCTTAACTGTCTCTCTGATTTTATTCCTGCTAGGTGTATTCTGGCCTCTATCTCCCTAACCTTTTTTATGAGAAGGACTTAAAATGCAGACTCTGGAGTTAAAGTTTAGTCCAGCTCTGGTAATCATTGTTACCGTTATAATCTGTATAACAATGGCAAGCTAGTTCACCACCCTATCTCTCATGATCGACAATGACAGTGTAGACTTTACAGGGCTTGTTTTAAGTTTATATGTGTAACATTGTTTAAATAAGACCCAACCCGGCACATAGAACATGCTAAGATATCTTTCCAAGTGGCTTCCTTCCCTGCCTATATATGGCCAAGGAAAAGCAACTTCCAGAAAAGAATCTTGTTATCTATGCTGCTAGGTCAAGTGCTGGAAGTCTCTGCCTTGGTACTGTGGTCTGCCTCTCCATCCATCCAGTCTACCTCACAGTGCTGGACAGATGTAGACAAGGGGTCACAGCTGGGAGACAGAGGGAAGAGCCTAGGTAACCCTGACTGTTCTGAGCAAAAACTGGAATGCAAGCTTCCTCTTTATCGAGCTCCTTCCTGGGTTTGGTTGCTTGTTTTCGGTTGTTGTTGTTGTTGTTGTTTTATTGTTTAGTTGTTTGTCATTTTGGGGTAGAGTTTCCTGCACAAAACTTTGGGTAAGCCCTTCCTTCCTTCTCTTCTTCCACAATTCTTGGTGAAACATCCACCATGCATGAGATCCTGTAATGTGTCTGATCATAGCAGTTGTACGTGAACACAGAATAGGAGAGGTGCCTAACCTATGAGCAGGTAAGATAAGATTGTCTGTTGACAAATCTCTTCAGAATGTGAAAGAGTGATCTAAGAGAGAAAGAAAGTAAAAATTATGCTTCAGATCTGTAAGGGAGCATCATGCCTAGAAGCAGCGTTGATACAAGAGATGAGGAAGAGAGAAGAGTATGCGGGACAAAAAGGACTGCCAGCTGAGTGCAGAGGCCCTGAACGAGAAGCCAGAATTCTTCAATACTGTGTCTGGAAATGTGTGTGTGTGAACCACAGTGAACAAGGCAGGGGTCGTGGTGAAGACACAGACACATGAGAAGGGATTTTACACAGCCTACTGACATGGTCTGGTATGCAGTTTTTACATGTTAACACTCTGGGAGACGGGTGTTAGGGGGTAAAGCAGAGAAACGTTTTGAAGGTCTTTCTAAATTAAATATAATATTTATTTTCACACTGCTGTCAGAAAGCAAGTACATTTTTGTGGATTATTGTAAAAATACATTCATCATTTGACTCAGACATTCCTGTTCCAGCAATATGTTGGAATTAAATGTTTGGCTTTAAGATTGGTCTCAGTTTATAACAACACATAATGAGTAGTCAATCATAAGCTTAACAAATCATGATAAGCTTAATTAAAATTGAAATAGATCCATATAATAAGTAGATAGAGTCATTGGGTAAGGGAGTTCCAAGTCTCTGCACTGTTTGATGCTGGTTTATGTTGTGTATAAGTGAATAGTATGTGGATTCCTGGGAAAACGAATCCACAAACTGTTAGCAATAGTTGTCATTCATTTGGAGGATTGTATATGATCTAAATTCTCTTTTGTTTTTTCTGGATTTTCCTATCAAAATCTTGTTTGAAAGAGCTTAAATATGATAAACCAGATAGGGTGACTTATGTGTGTGATCCCAGCACTTGGGAAATAGGGAGACTGTCACAGTCTGAAGCCAGTCTAGTCCTAAGAGTATAGCCCTGTTTCAGAAAAATTATATAAATATACACACATACATCATTGATAAATTATGATTATATTGATTTTTTTTAATTTTTGCTTTCAAACCAGCCAAAGACAAGCTGGAATACAGGTCAGTGGAGGAATGCTTGTCTACCATATTCAAGGTCCCAGCACTGAAACAATAGCAAGAAAAAATAGCTAAATCTCATGTGAACTTCCCTGTGTCCTTCCTGCAGTGTCTCCATTAACAACCACTTACACTGATATGTTTTCCAACCTATTTCCTAGATCTCATTTGCCACAGAGTCTGTCTTCCAAGTTGTCAGTCACTAAAGAACAGGAGCCCCTTGCTTTCCATCATTCTGACACCACCAAGCCAACTGTCTCTCTTCAGATAATGTTAAGGGGACTCCCATTCCTTATACAACTTCTGTGTGAGTCAGAGCAAGTTAGTTATCTTTAAAAAGGTAAAACAAAAACGTATCAGTTTGACATATTCTCTGTTTACTTCTTCCTTACACAGAGGTCTAATTGATATATGGGTGCAAGGGTAGCCCTTCTGTTCTCTAAGACCTCCAGGTTCTGTCCATGGAGACCTGGATAGGGAAAATAAATGACAAAAACAGCATACAGGAAGTTTCTACGTGCCTGACCTAGACCATGCTGCACACTGCTCCTCCCAGCATCCTGTCAGAAGAATCCATCTCTGTGGATTCTGTAGGGAACCTCTAGCTGTGCTTCCAGGAAGAAAAAGAACAGAATTTGACATGAATATATATGTGCTGTGCCTCTTTCACGGAGTGGTATGGGTGAAAGCAAATTTATTTGGTGAAGGCAAACATCCAAAAGAGACCTGATAGGCAAGGTACTGTGAAAGGGGAGCCCAGGAAGTCTCTGGGGCCACAGAGAACTCATACCAGGCAAGGCACACATAGGCTTAGGATATAGGAGTGACTTCAACTATTCGGTACCATCCCACCAAGCTCTTTATAATTGATACAGCCATTGTGTTTTCATGCCCTGCCATCAGCATCTCTACTTCTTCCTCTGCCATCTCCTCACCCAATGCGACATGGACATGACAGATTTCAGTACCCATGATGGTACCATTCCTTCCCGTCAACATACAAAGGCCTTCAACATAATCCTCATTAGTTCCTTGGTCCTTGTTCCTGGCCACAGTCTGCCACGTATACAGGAAGTGCTCAAAGACCAGCCCTTTACACTCATCTCAGCACACTTGGGGTTCCCCAGGACCTTGGCCACCTCGGCCCTGGTAGGGTTCTGGCCCAGGGCCCTCGTCACGTCCCCATGTTGGCTGTACAGGATTTTGCCATCACTACTCTGGTCAAACAGCAGGAAAGCCTCCTTACATTCTGGGACCTGATGTTTTAACTTCAACACAGTGACTGCACCTTAATCTACTGCTATTTCAGCCAGCAATTAGGACTCCACAGTTAATGGCCTATTTCTTTGACAGT